CCTAAGAAATGTTAAATATAGTAAGTAGGCTAGCAGCTTTCGAGAAATGGGCAAAAATCATAGGATGTGTGTTAAACATAGACAATACATAAGTAGCTTGTGAGGCATAGGCAAATTTATAAGATGTGTTAAATATAAATGGTAAGTTAGTAACCTGAAAGACATGTTAAAAATGAATGGTACAGGGGTGCCTGGGTGGCTCAGTCGGTTGAGCGTCTGCCTTTGGCTCAGGTCATGATCCCAGGGTCCTGGGATGGAGCCCCATATCGGGTTCCCTGCTTAGCAGGGAATCTGCTTCTCCAACCCCTTCTCCCTCTGCCCTCCCTCCTGCTCATGCTGTCTCTCTCTCTCTCTCTTTCTCTCTCAAATAAATAAATAAATAAAATCTTTTTAAAAAAATGGATAATGAAATACATGCAAGAACAAACAAGAATACTACTTAGAGATAGAAAGGATAGAAAGTCATAGTTATGATTATGACTTTCTCAGCAGACATTTTTATGCACCATCTTTAAATTGGCCATTATTGGTGATATCCAGTATAGTCTCATTCCAGCCTCACATGTTCTGTGTCCAAAAAATGTAGGAGCTCATTGGAAATACACAGCTTCACTCCTATGTCTCTCTAATAGGGCAAGCGTGTGTTTTGGCCCTAGGTAACTTTCATCTTTGTACGCCATCCTTATTCACACCTCAACTTTGGTCTTCATCACTATGCCATCATCAGATAAGGATGATGGGGCAGAGAGAGAAAAAGAGACAGAGACAGAGAGAGAAGTTATATGAACATTGCATAACCCAGGATTTGGGGCTTGGGGTCTTCCACCCATGTACTCTTCCCTAAGTGTGTTTAACCTGGTGTCTGGTCTCTTCTTTTGCTTCTCATTGTGAGTTTTAGATTGATTTAATAAATCATGTTGTTTATCTTAATTTGGGCTGTAAGCATTTTCTTTTTTTCTTTTTTAAGATTTTATTTATTTATTTGAGAGAGAGAGAATGAGAGAGCACATGAGAGGGGGGAGGGTCAGAGGGAGAAGCAGACTCCCTGCCGAGCAGAGAGCCTGATGCGGGACTTGATCCAGGGACTCCAGGATCATGACCTGAGCCGAAGGCAGTCACTTAACCAACTGAGCCACCCAGGCACCCCGGGCTGTAAGCATTTTCATTTTGGTTCTTCCAGGGTGGTAACTGGAGGCCAGCATTTCATCACGGTCATTTCCCATACAACAATACCTATAATAACAAAACTAATGTTATTTTAACAGATGATTATGAGCCTTCTATTGGCATAGTTGATATTCGTCAGAGTGTTTCTGAAAATTGATTTTGATAAATGTTTTGAAGACAGTTTAGTTTAAAAACCCAATGAAAAGTGATTGTAGTATTAGATACACATATAGACCACAGAACTAAGTTATGTAAATTATCAAATTATTTCATGATACTTGCAAAGAACTATTATGTACATTTATACACATATACATATATAATATGAATGTATATGTGTATTTGTATATATGTTTATATGTGCATACATACCCACATATCTACATGTAGATCTGTAAGTTCTCAGATTTTGATTCTAGCAAGAATTTAAAACTGTGAAAAGACAGGTGAGATTATTTCTCACCAAAATAAATTCAACAAACTTTTATTCAGGATCTGTTTGCCAGCTGCAGAATCAAAATCAAAATCGATGTCATTCAACTTTTTTTTTTTTTGTCAGATATGTCAATATGCGTCTACCTTTGCTATTAACTTTAGTTCACACCTTTTTGTTAAGGTGGTTACATGTTGTAAAAAATGCAGAAATTTAAGTTATAGAGCTAATTCAAGAAAATATGTATTTTCCATATGTATTTCCCCCCTGTCCGTGAGGAAAAGTAAAATCCCCTTTTACAGTTAATCATTGAAATAAATGCCATCACAAGTCATATTGTGTACATTTATGATACACTTTCACTATAAATCTAAGTAAGATAAGTAAAGTTTTTTGCTCTAGATTTTGATTAGCAAGTTCAGCCTTAAAAGATCATTCGGTACAGTGTCAGCACATGAAATGATCTCTTGGTTCTACTTAAACCCCCTCCCCAATTGCTATCTATCCAAACGGTAAAGAATTCAGTATGTTACAGTTTAACTGTTTATAATTCCCCTGCAGCTTGAAAGTAGGTGTCCTTTCTCCTCCTTTGCCATGGGTACATCTGACTCAAACACAATCCGTGTCTCTGATAGAAACCAGCTGCTAGCTCCGCGGTGTCCAATCTGCAGCGGAGCTCCGCCAGCCTTTGGCCAGTCACTTTATTCAAATACCGATTTGTAGTGGGGCTGTAACACCCATAGTGGTTTCATTACAGAAATACAATGAAATCAGGTAGCAGAAATTCATGGAACTAATGAGTTTCCTTCCTACTAGTGGCTAAAATCACTCTAGAGCAAACAAAATTGGACTGAGAGACACTGCCTGGAAGTTAATGGCTTCTTTCCTCAGGAATCCTTTGTTTTGCAAGCAGCGGAGGGTAGGGGTGTATACTTAAGCCAGGCCACCAAAGTTCAAATCCTTGCTGGGCGAGTCAGTTGTGTGGGACCTTAGGCAAGCCGTGTAATTTCTCTGGGCTTTGGTTTCTCCATCTGTAAAATGGGGATAGTTCATATCTCATAACATTGCTAAGTATTGCTAAAACAAAAAACAAAACACAAAAAAACACTAAACAAAAAAACCAAACAACCCCCAAAAAACAAAACCAGACTTGGGGGGGCAACCTTGAGCTAAAGCTGCAATTCAGGCATGTTTTAATCAAAATGGAAACTTGAGGGGTCTTGGGCCAGGTTTTTTAAAGACCAGAAAGTCAACTTAGTTCTTGGCCTGTGGTTTGTTCTTAGGATCATAAATAAGGTCACAGTCATGGACTTTGAACACTAAATCAGATGAGCTCATTTTAACTTCTTCCATGTCATCTCAAAAGCTCTTAGGAAACATTTATTAGTAATTTCTTTTAAAGACAACTGCCCAATAGGCAACCATTGTCTTTGGAATGAAAAATTAGGTATTAAAAATTTATTGAACTATGATTTTATTATTAATTCTGTAAATTCAAAGAATGGTTATTATAATCCCTCCTGTGAGGTTTAGTTAATTTTTACATCTCTCTACATTATAATTTTATGAGGTATCTTACAGTGGTTTCAAATTATTTCTTCAGTCTTTGTCTTTGTTTTTAATTTATACAGTGGAATTTACTTGTTCATTGGTGTGAGTAATTTTCAGTATCTTGCCAAACACTCTGTGGCAACTGAAACTACAAGTTGCTTATATGAGACTCTTCTGTTTGAGTGCAGTGCAACAAAAACAAATTATGCTGAAAACCCAACATCATTGAATTGTAGGCACTTATGTAACTAATTAAAAAATACTTTTATTTTCTGTAAATAAGAAGACAAATTTGACCTACATTTTTGGGGGGCAAATAATAGGGCAAAGCATATCTTATGGCTAGAATAATGTTCAGTTTCACTGTATTATTACTTCTGTTTTTTTTATCTCCCCAACTTGACCAAATGCTTTATATCCCATTCAGCCCATCTTGTTGCAGAACTCACATATATTAGAAGCTTGATCAATATTTATAGACCAATTGTATTATTCTTATGTGTTCAGATTGTAGTTTAAAACTCAGGTTTATGAAGAAAAGTCCCATCAGTTTCCCAGAGTGTTGTGAAAATCTCTCCAGGAACTCATGGTGATCCCATGTTCAAAGTGCACTGTCAGACATTGATGCTGCTCAGTCCCGGGGGGCAGCTGGAGCCCATAGGCTAAGAGTGAAGAGCAGCCTTCTCTAGTGCCCCTGGGCAGCCCAAGCACAGCAGGGTTTGAGAGGTGATGATGTGTCCTCTGGCAACAATGATATCAGGCTCTGCTGGTTGATGCTAGGTGTAGCCAATAAGGTGTCTTACTGTCTGGACATCTGTGTCGGCTACCGGCTGCATAGCACACAGCATCCGTAAGGGTGCTGAAGGAGGTATGGGAGGAGTTCACTCTGCAGGAGTCCAAGAAGCTCTGCTTCCAGGTTGATAAGACACAGATCCCCTTCTCCATTCCTAATCTGTATATTCACGTGTACACATACTGTCTTCCTATTGTGGCTACTATCTTTGTAACAATCCAATCCAGCTGCAGACCTGCAGTGAATGCCCATTCTGCAAATCAGAGCTTCAGCATATTGCTATGAAAAAGTCTGATTAGATTTGAGATCATTGGCATTATTACAAGAAAATTCAACATTACATTGTTTTGGACAGAAAAAATGTTTAATTTCTTTAAATATAATTTCCAACCATGGTAAATTTTTGAATTGTTGTAAAAATGTTTTTTACATTTTTATATATCACCTTTTTTTGTTGTTGAAAGTGACTATCTAGAGATCAACTTTTTCATAAACATGAAATTATTTTATGTGGAATTTTCTGCATATTTAATATTTAAATCACTTCTAATATTTTTCTTTTTTTTTTTTTTAACACATAGGTAATTGTAAAGAAAAGGCAGTTAAATGTTGACTAAACTCCAGGGAGCCATATCATTTTTTCTGTGACATAACTGGAAAATTTGGGGAAGCACCTTCCATTAGGGATTTTTGGTGATTCATAGGTGTTCAAGTTTCCTCAAAGTGTTTTCAAAACTGGGCAAGGACTTTTCTGCTGACTCTGTGTGGCATAAGGATCACTCAGCTTCAAAGAACTTAGTCCCTTCTTTCAACTGTAAAATACTCTAATACCATTTCACACGGTCCTATTTAATGGGGCCATGTGCAGTGTTCACACTCGAGTATGCACTAGACTGGAAAAGTGATCCACAGGCAGGCTCATTTCTGCCGGTTCACCCTCCGTGTTAACTGCCTTGGACAAAGTAATCATCCAGCTGTCTTATTCCGTCTTCTGCAGTAAGACTTCACCCGAGCCTTCCTTCTTCCAACCTGCGCTGCGGGCTGAGGGGTTGGTCTGGAGTAGCCGCCCAGCCCAGCCCGATCCTACCACACACTTTTCCCTTGCCTCTGGGCCACTTGCAAGCGCAACCACGCGCCCAGGTCTCCAGGTTTTTCCGGGGAGGCCCCCCGCCCTCAGCCAGGCTGGGTGGGTGCTGGGGGTGGTCTCGCAGACTTCTCGCGCTTTCCCTGCAGGTCCCCCGGAAGATACAGGCACAGGCCAAAGCAGCTGTCCGGGGTTGCTGCGAGGCGGGGCCGGCGCTCCCTGACCTCCTCCTCCCTCCAGGTTCTGCGCCCCCGGACTTGGCAGTGGCAGAAACCTGCCAAGAGTCCCAGCCCAGGGGGCGGGGAACTTGGACACCTGGGGCAATCGTTCAGGGTCTGCTGCCACCTTCCCCTCCCCCGGCCTCCGCTGGGGATGTTTATCTTGCCCTGTGCTCCTTGCTCTTTTCTCTTTCACTTTTCTTTTCGCTGGGGGTTGGGACTCCCTGGGTTCAGGGCGCCCATGGGGAACCCCGGCTGACTCGCTCGTTGCAGTCGAAGCCCATCGCCAGGGAAGGGAGCCGGGTGGCCGCGCCCGTCCGGCTGCGCCGCTTGCCGCCCCCAGCCCTGCAGCCCGGACTCCATGGAGGTAGAGTTCTGCTTCTTCGCTCGGGGGGGGGGGGAGGTGGTGGTGGTTGAAAAGGCGATGGAATTTTCCCCGAAAGCCTACGCCTCGGGCCTCTCCCAGCTCCGGGCGGACCCACCCGTTTCCCGCCACCAGCTGCGGGTCGCGCCGCCCCGCCCTGCCCTCTCACGGGGAACACTTGACCGCGACTTCAGTTTTCGGTTGCACTACGCACAGAGGTTTTTCCCCTTCTGACCCTTTATTCCTCCCGTGCCCTCTGCTCGCCATCCTCCACTTTCAGAGGTGCGCAGCTTGCTCGTCCGCTTGCGGGTCCCGCGCCGTTCCTCCGTGCGCTCGCGGTCTTTCGGTGTTGCGGGCAGCGGAGTGGCGGGAGGCAGCGCCCGGCGCCGGGCTCTCCCCTCCGCTGACTCTGCAGCTGACCCGCGGAGAGCGAGGGACGTGCGTCTGGCTGCCCCCGCCACGCTGCCGTTTCGGAGAAGACGCCGTCTGGCAGCACGGAGCGCCGAGTTCTGTACCTAACCGAGCTCAGAGAGTTCAAGAAAGGTACCGCAGCTCCCCGCTTCTTCCCTGCCGCCTCCCAAACTCCCTGTCGGTGGGCGCAAAGGTGTGTAGGGCCCTGCGCGTCTGTCGCTACCTTTGTTTGCAAAATCGAGTTACCCTCCCCTTCTTGGATAAGGACCCTTGTCCTCCTAGGGAGAGGAACTTGCAGAAATGGTTACTGCTGGGCAATCAGGCCTGGGTCTATATTCTCACTTCCAACCCTGGACAAGCCACTCATCTCTTAGAAAAGCAGTCTTAGTAACTTGGAAGAGATGCAGGAGACTTTAATTGCAATAAAACCCTTATCCAAGGTGGATTTAAATGAAAATCCGGTTGATTTTTTCCAACTGAAATTGCATTTTGCGAACGGATACGATGCATTTTAATTTATGTAATGCCGTGCATTTAAGATTTTGATAGCTTCAACGTAGCCATAAAGCAAGGTTATTCTTAAACGATGCGTATTAACAGATTCTTAAACAGGGTGAGTCAGAAGTTTCAAAACTGGAGGTAAAGTGGTTGTCGTTAGCTGTTTTCCATTATGTTTTTTAAAGCTACTTTCTAATGTTATGACACGGGTGATGACATCTACTTGTAACTGATAGGCATCCTCATCTTCTCAGTGTGCCTAACGAGGTTTTACTGACTTGACTGAATGAACAGATTAGATCTGGATGGTTGTGGCATCCTGCGGTGGGATGGCTGTGAGGGGGACTGTTCTACTGAAAGCAGCAAGGTGATATATGGATTCAATTTTTAAACTCCTGTTGTTTTATTGAAAAGCAGTGTGGTGGGCAAGGTAGACAGAGGAAGGTGGTACAAAGGAAAGAACAATATAGAGATATAAAGGAAGGGACTGAAAAAAAAAGCAACAGGCTTCTTAGATTTAAAAAGTGACGAAGAATTTAAAATTTTATGTAATCAAGTTAAGAAGTCTCAGAAGTTCTAAAGGTTTGTTATGATTGTGTTTTAAGGTCACATTCTTGCATCTTTTCCCTGTGTTTTCTCCTCTCAAAGTTTTAGTCATACTCAGAATGGCCTTTCCTGCAGTATCATCTGCTCTGTGACAGAGTGACACAGAGGAGATAGGTTGGTCACTGGTCCTGAAGCTCTAGTAAGCAGTGTTCCCATATTTTGTTTTTTAACTTATTATTAATCTATTAATGTATATATTATTTTTTATTAAGTAAGCTCTACACCCAATGTGGGGCTCGAAGTCACTTCCCGGAGATCAAGAGTCACATGCTCTACTGACCGAACCAGCCAGCCGCCCCTTCCCATACTTTGGATTCACTATTCTCCAACAGTCTGGAGTGGGAACTCCAGAACCTGGTTTGAAGTTGTAGTCCTGAAATTTGGAATTTTACTGCAGATTTTGGTGGGCTTAAAGAAAACGATTTGATGCTTTTTGTTTCACCCGTGAGATTCAGTTATAAATGTCAGCAGCTCTATTGCAAGACATACTAGTTGTTAATGAAATACATGTTTATCAACTTCTATGAAGGAGGAAGAAAATCAGTGGTTTAAAGTTTATTGAAACAGTTTGATAATTAGAGGATTAGATAATTAGATAATTAGAACCCAGGAGGTTCTCCATCTCAGGTTTGCTGGCTCTGAGTAGATTTCAGGAAGGCTATGATTGAAGCCCTGAAATGTTATGGATAAGTGGATTTTTCTTAGGAAAATGTCCACAACTCTAGTTAGGTTTTTAAGTGGGTCTTGAATCACAAATAGTTTTAAAAACATCTTAAAACTTAGAAAACTGTCCTTTTCTTCATTTATCTCTTAGAGTTTACTGTTAAGTTTGCTCATTAGGTAGCTATTCTTTTGAAGTTTAGTTAATGATAATACAGAGAGTTCTGTCTTTCTGCCAGCAACTTGAATTACGGGAAATAATATGAATTATAGCTAATACTTGTTGAGTTCTTATTATGTACTGGATGTTGTTCCAAGTATGTATTTTTATTTTTATTTTTATTTATTTATTTATTTATTTATTTTTAAGATTTTATTTATTTATTTGAGAGAGAGACTGAGATAGAGAGAGCATGAGAGGGGGGAGGGTCAGAGGGAGAAGCAGACCCCCCGCCGAGCAGGGAGCCCGATGCAGGACTCGATCCCGGGACTCCAGGATCATGACCTGAGCCGAAGGCAGTTGCTTAACCAACTGAGCCACCCAGGTGCCCCAAAGTATGTATTTTTAAAAATCATCATAATAAAGTTATGTGGTGGTAGGGACTGTATTATACTGCTGAGAAAATTGAAGCATAGGGTAATAAATAACTTTCCCAAAGTTACAGAGCTAGTTAAGTGGTAGAACTGAGGATTTGAACCCGGACAGATTTAAGATCACGGGTATTTAGGAAGAATGATATTTCCATATAAGTATTTCCCACAATTTGGCAGTGACAACTAACCACGACTTCATTTTGATGGACGCAGTGTTATAATGATAGAATGTTGGTTTTCAAGTAACACTGCTTATATAGTACTTGCATGATTGACATCAATCATTAATTATATATTTAAAGATTAGCTTTATGATCAACTAGTATTCACATGAGTGTCCATATGTGTTTGGTTCCTTGGAGAAACTTCTTTCATGGTTCCTGAATGAAAACATTAATTTGCATCAGTTTTTGCTGATAGGGCTTGGCATAGGTACATGTGGATTGATCTGTATGCTGAATTTATCCATCTCCCTGTCCATTCATCCATCCAAGTGGAAAGCTGGGGTTCATGGAGAGATCAGAACAGAAGCCTTTCCCATTATATCACAACCGAGGTGGTGTAGTCAACTATTTGAGAAGCTTTTTCAGAGGCTTTATGGTATGAGGGTTGGCAAGAGGCCAGCTGCTTTCCTTAGTTCAGTATTAGCTCTTTGGTTTACTTACACAGTGATTGCAGATTACTACATGAAGCTATTGAGATTGAATAATGCTTAAGTGCTTGCTGCTATCCTATTTGAATGGATTGAGTGGAAAAATTCCATAGGGAAGTTGGAAGAACCTTTGTGGTTTTAGCTAGTCCTGCAGCATATTCACTACTAGCTATTTAATGGTGAATTTTACTAATTATTATTATTATTATTTTTTAAAGATTTTATTTATTTTTCAACAGAGAGAGAGAGACAGTGAGAGAGGGAACACAAGCAGGGGGAGTGGGAGAGGGAGAAGCAGGATTCCCGCTGAGCTGGGAGCCCAATGTGGGACTCGATCCCTGGATCCTGGGATCATGACCCGAGCAGAAGGCAGATGCTTAACAAACTGAGCCACCCAGGCGCCCTTTACTAATTATTATTAATTATATTTTATTATTTTGCTTTACTTTTTTTTTTTTTTCAAGTTCCTCAGTACTGGAATCGGATGTAGGAAATAAGAAGCTCTTTGGTCTCATTTCAATTCAGCAGTGTTATTCGTAGTCGTTTTATATCTGGAGGCAGGGTATACGTATACATATATTTTTCAGTGTTTTATCCCACTGTGACTCTAGTAGTGTCTTGTGGGTCATTTTCGAAAGGACCAAAATATACATATATACATATATGCATATGCATATATATGTGTGTGTGTGTATAAAATGTATATTTTGTATATAGACCATATAAAAATGGATAAAAAAGTCTAAATGTGTATTTGCTCATCATGTTCTAGTAATACATAGTTGCTTCTTCTCCTGATGCTAAGGTTTCTCCAAGTGCTTACAGACTGCAGAGGGGATCAGGAGAGTGACAGAAAGTATTTTGTTAAATAAAGGAATTGAAACTGAAAATGATCCTACAAGAAGAAAATATGATGGTTGTAAGGTTGGTGGGGGCGGGGGGAGCTCTACTTATCACAGTGGCGCAGGAAAGAAGCCCTGTGATACATTCAATAATCCCTTGTATCATTTCATTCTCACTGGGCATTTTGCTTATATGCCTTCTAATAGAAATTCAAGAAATGAAATACCCCTTGGGCACTGTTAGCTCTGACCTCCAAAATATTCAATTATTCTTTAATTGAACATTTTATAGTTAGAAAGTTTACAATATGTTTTTCCAACTTCCGTGTTCTTCTTACTCTTCTGCAACAAAAAGTATATACATTTAAATTTAATTTTTAAAATAATTCTGTTAAAATTATCCTTTATGTTATTTTAAATATTAGTACACAGGTAACCAAAGTAATTCATTAACTTTTGATAAGTAATTATGAGGCATAAAATTAACTATACTGGAAATGTGTATCATAAATGTAGGTATGGGTAGTGTTGATATCAATGCTTTCCTGAAAGAAGTTTCTCTAATATCAGTTTTTCAATTTGCCCCTTTATTTGGCACCCTGGGGAGGCAAGACATATGGTGAGATTCTGAATGGGAGAGAGATGTGCCTTCCTTTGGTAAAATGGGTGAAGGGTAATTATTTATGAAAGGGGAAGTGGGAAAGGAGAACTTGCCAGAAAATGCTTGCTGTTGGCACATT